GGTAGCAGTGAGGTGACGTGTATCGCCACCACTCGCTACAACACATTTCCGCCAGGCGACAAGCGCAGGATAGGAGAGAGAGAGAGAGAGACAGAGACAGAGAGAGAGAGAGAGAGAGAGAGAGAGAGAGAGAGAGAGAGAGAGAGAGAGAGAGAGAGAGAGAGAGAGAGAGAGAGAGAGACAGAGAGAGAGAGACAGAGAGAGAGACAGAGAGAGAGAGAGAGAGAGAGAGAGAGAGAGAGAGAGAGAGAGAGAGAGAGAGAGAGAGAGAGAGAGAGAGAGAGAGAGAGACAGAGAGACAGAGAGAGAGAGACAGAGAGAGAGAGAGAGAGAGAGAGACAGAGAGAGAGACAGAGAGAGAGAGAGAGAGAGAGAGAGAGGGGGGTGCTACAGCAAAAGATACAACACAGAAAAATAAGTAAATAAATAGCTCGAGAAAAGTACAAGATTGTTTACTGGAGAGAAATAAAAATGGCCAGATGGAGCTATTTAGATCAGGTAGCTGGGAGTGTGTGTGGTGGTGTGTGGTGATGGTAGAGTGTGTGTGTGGTGATGGTAGAGAGTGTGGTGATGTAGAGTGTGTGGTGATGTGGTAGAGTGTGTGTGTGTAGTGAGAGAAGGACGGGTACTCCCTTCTCACGATGTGATTATGACAGGAAACGGAAACTTAAAAAACAACCTCGATATAAACATCAAAACTCAACTGTGTGTGTGTGTGTGTGTGTGTGTGTATGTGTGTGTGTGTGTGTGTATGTGTGTGTGTGTGTGTGTGTGTTACCATTATCCTCAATACCCAGTGACGCCACAGCTGGAAGATGACGTCACAGGAGCCACAATTAAAAACGATGCCTTGAGCAAGAGTGAGGTGCCAAGGTAAGTGCCAGACCTGGTGCCAACTATCAAGGTTCTCACGCCCCAACCATGCCAACCTCCCCCTCCACCTCATCAACCTCCTCCTCCCCCCACAAGCTACCTCCACCCTACACCTCCTCCTCCTCCGCCCTACCAACCTCTCGCCCTCCCTCACCCACCACCTTACCTCCTCCCTCAGGTAAAAAATAAGCGAAAAATAGGGTCCCATATGCTCACGAACACCATAATACCAAGACCCTGAGCCCAGCAGGCGTTACTGCACTCCACCGCCTTACCCCCATCTGTGAAGTTAGGTACCCACTCTCAATTGGGTGGACAGAGGCCTTGGGTGCGAACAACCGTACTAGAAGAATAAGATGCCTCAATTGATGATTAAAACACCTTAACGCTACCTGGAGGAGGTTAGTTAGAGGTTATGTAAAGTCAGGTTAGAGTTAGCTTAGGTTAAGTTAACAATTAGGTCAGCAGCAATAGTAGGCGGCGTTTCACATTTCCTCCCCTCCCCACTACAGAAATTCTAAATAAGGACACACACACACACACACACACACACACACACACACACACACACACACACACACACACACACACACACACACACACACACACACACACACACACACACACACACACAAAGGATACTATTGTCAAGTTGTGGCACTAGGACTATAAAGGTGGCAGCTCAAGGTTCCGTCACACGTAGATGAAGATCAGGGTAATGGTCATACCTTGGTCACGTGTAAGGAGAGGAGAGGAGACATTGACGTCAGGATTATGGCACGTGGCCTGATCTCAAGACAGCCCATATCCACTGTGACAGAAGGAACACTTGCTGAACATTACTCACACACCATGACAGGTTGGGAGCGTCAAGGCACCAGATACGCCATAATAGAAGTCTTCGTACACCTCCCCGTAATCGTACTTCCTAATCCGACGTCTCTATAATCCGACATTCGATATTCCAGACGTCCTGTAATCCGGACATCTCGAAAATTTAGATATCAGATAATACGGACATCTCGTAAATCTGGGCCTCCTCACGTGCACCTCACCTGGTCTCCACCTATACAACACATAACAAAAAAACAGAGCAGATGGTACTATGCCAGCGAGTTCTTTACGTCACACACCCCGTCACACTTGCACCTTCCGTCACACACCGTCATACCTGAACCTTCTGCACATAATGATATTGACGACACATGCATCACCCTCACGTGCCCGCCCTTCACTCATGGAGGGGGATATAAGATGGGACTAATCTTCAAGTGATCCAAATAACTGAGGTTGAGTTTAGGACCAATTTATGTGTGTGTGCGTGCGTGCGTGTGTGTGTGTGCGTGCGTGTGTGTGTGTGCGTGTGTGTGTGTGTGTTAGGTATTTCCACAGTTTTGAAGGTAGAGGGCTGATATTTGGTAGGGAGGTGCGGGTTGGCCATACACTATCACCTGTCCCTCAACTCTCGTACACCAACAGTAGATAGAGGATGTAGGTGTGATAACTAATGGGGGTTAATTCGTGTTCCCCTTAGTCTAGCCGTCTGGTATACTCTGCTTGACCTACCTTAACTTAGCCTAACCTAACCCAACTTAACCTTACCGAATTTAAACTAAATCGATTTAAGCTAACGAACTCAAATTAACCTAAATTAACCTAGCATAACCTAAGCTAGGTAAACCAAAACCGAACTAACCATACCTACCCTTACGATCTTCAGGTAGTTGTGTGTACTATAGGTTAGTGTTGGTTAGTCTGTTTCGTCTGGTTGAAAAAAAAATGGTGGTTGTTGAACACTGTACAAGTTCAGTCTTAATGAATCATATACCTGTGGCCTCCTGCCCGCGGCGTCGTAAGGGAGGGGAGGAGAGCCGAGGGGTGAGAAGAGAGGAGAGGTGCAGTACGCCACACGGTCCTCGGGGATACGGATGGGCATGGGCATGGACGTCTTGCGGGTCCGGTACAGCACCCGGGGCCGGCGGGGGGGCACCGAGGTGGACCTCATCTCTGACTTGGAGGGTCTGATTGAGACAGCTCGAGCACGACTACATAGAGGAGGACTAGTGGTGGATGACCTGGCGGGGCTTCCTCTGGGTGAGGGGGGCGTGGGGGTCTCCGGGGTAGTCAAGGACGGCCTCTCACTCGATGCTGACGTGTCCGCGACGTGCTGATCACTGGATATAAATATAGGCACGTCATCCTCATCGTCGTCATCTCGGGAGGGTATGCAGCTGAGGCGACGAGGGTTCTCGCGGTAATATAGAGGAAAGACATCCTCATCCCGGGGAGGGTCGCAGCAGCTGAGGGGGCGGGGGCGGCGGGGGGGTGAGGGCTCGTCCTGGGGCTCCACTTCCTCAGGGATGAAACACGGGGTGGACCACGAGTGACGAATCATGTTGATGCGGGAGTCAACACGCTCAAGACCCCAGACACACTCACGCAGGTACTTAACGAGGGAGTACTCCTTCACATCCCACCTGGGCCACATGCCTCTGGTCCTCACCTCCACCACCACGCTGCCCTCGCTCGCCCCTCCACACCCTCCCTCCTGCCCATCTTCTTTCACAACACCTATAACCTACAACACTCGGCTACCTGCCACGTACTATTAACTATTCAGTATCAATAAGGTAAAGTGGAACACAACTTCTATATCTTTCCACAAGGATTAATCATCTTACGACCAAACACCAAATTCACAACTTGAGTCGAGAAAGATCCGGGAGTGAGTATAGCACAAGTCGACAGGCACTGACAGGCGCTGTTAACTGGTGGCTTCTGTACACGAGTGAGGCAGTGGGACCAGCGGGGGCAGCAGCAGGGGGAACGCTGGCACCAACTACTCACATACCGGAGCCCCTTGATGACCACCACCGAGTAAATACTGGCACAGCACAACACCACAACACAGCACCACAACACAACACACAGCACAACACCACAACACAGCACAACACCACAACACAGCACACACCACAACACACACAACACAGCACCACAACACAGCACCACCACAACACAACAACACCACAGCACAACACCACAACACAGCACAACACCACAACACAGCACAACACAACAACACAGCACAAACACAGCACAACACACAACACCACAGCACCACCACACAGCACAACACAACAAACACAACACCACACAACACAACACCACAACACAACACAGCACAACACAACACAACACCACACAACACAAACAACACAACACCACACAACACAACACCACAACACCACACAACACAACACCACAACACAAACACAACACAACACAGCACAACACAGCATCAACACCTTCCACCAACAGCCGTGGCTACTGGCGGATGTGGCCCACTGGCGTTCGTGGCCATTGGTAAGTGTGGATATTGGCAGGTGCAGCCTGGCAGGTGCAACCACTGTCGGGTGTGGCCACTAGCGGGTGTGACTCGGGCGCCCGGGGTATTGTCTCAGTTAAAGGTGTCCGCCTCCCTGAAGCTGTGAGCTACACTCTAGAGGACCGTCGCAGCCATAGTGAAGCAAAGCACGCCTCAACGTTGTAACACCAGGGGCTCTCAACGCTGCAACACACGGCAACACCAACTGCAACACCGGGCTCTCAACGCTGCAACACAGGGTTCTCAACGTTTAACACCGGGGCTCTCAACCCTCAACACCCAGGGCTCTCAACGCTGCAACACCAGGGGCTCTCAACGCTGCAACACCGGGGTTCTCAACTTCCAACACCAGGGTTCTCACGCTGCAACACAGGGCTCTCAATGTTGCAACACCGGGGCTCTCAACGTTGCAACAACGAGTCTGCAATATGCAACGTCAACAAGGAACAAATACAATCCTTAACGAGCATTGTTTCTTACTCAGGTACAGCGTGTTGCAGGTCATTGTTGCCAGCTGACACGCACGATCCTGAGTGCAATGCCTGCCTACCTCCGTCCACTACTCACACCATTCCATCCCATTACAAATCCCTCCAGTATTCCATCCCACCACTCCCACTAACTCCACCCTACTCAACATATTTGACCCAGACCACAGTCACACACTCTTAAACCATACACAAACATCATCATCATCATCATCATTATTTTCATCATCATCATCATCATTTTCATCATCATACCCGTAAGACGCGTTCATAAGACAATAATAGGGAGTGAGAGCCATGGTGCCAGCCAGTGGCACCCTATGAGGAGGGAAACTTCACTTCATGGCACCCACACAGGAGGTCCATCTCCTGCTCTGGCATCCGTCACACTGAACCATCACACGTGCCCCCTGCCAGGCTAGTGCTTATATAGGCTAGTGCCCTTATACTGAGGCTAGTGCCCTTATAATGAGGCTAGTGCTTATACTGAGGCTAGTGTCCTTATACTGAGGATAGTTCCCATATCTGAGGCTGGCCCTTATAATGAGGCTCAGTATATACACTGAGGCTAGTGCCGTATACTGAGGATGATGCCTTATACTGGAGGTAGATAAATACAGGTAAGTAAGTAGGCACAGGTAGCCAGGTGAGGTAGAAGTCGTCAGGTGAGGTACAGGTCGTCAGGGGAGAATACAGGTGGGGTAGAGGAAGGTCTCATGAGGTGAGGTAGAAGTCGTCAGGTGAGGTACAGGTCGTGAGTACAGGTCGTCAGGGAGGTACAGGTCGTCAGGAGGCATAGGTCGTCAGGTGAGGTACAGGTCGTCAGGGAGGTACTACAGTGGGCAGCGAGTTACAGGTAGACAATAGCCTTAGGAGTGGCAGGTGTGAGGGAGGAAGGGGGGTACACGTCGGCACCTGTGTGGACAGTGGTAGTGTGCCCTCCTTCCCTCCCTCCCTCACTGGCACACACCCTTCTTCTCCTCACACTTGCACACCCTCCTTCTGTCCCTCCCTCACTGCCACACCCTCCTTCTGTCCCTCCCTCACCGCACACCACCTCTCCCCTCCCTCCCTCCCTTACCCTCCTCTCTATATTACAGGGGTGACGTGGGTGTGTGTGGCTGGTGGAAAATCTTGTGTCATCGTGGTACCTGCTAAAGTCATACTCCTGATGTCACATGATGTCACTGTTCATCAAGTCATACCCCTGATGTCACATGATTTCACTGTTCATCAAGTCATACCCATGATGTCACTGTTCATCACGTCATACCCTAATGTCACATGATGTCACTGTTCATCAAGTCCATACCCCTGATGTCACATGATGTCACTGTTCATTACGTCATATCCCTGATGTCACATGATGTCAACAAACACCTTTCACAGTCAGTCAGCAATGTCTCCTCCTCCTCGCCACCACCACCTCCACACTCTGAGTATAACTATGCCTCCCTCCCTCCCACACACTTCCCTCCCTCACCCATCCTCCTCCTCACACACATCTCCCCCCCTCCACCACATCTTCCCTCCTCACCATCTCCTCTCACATCTCCCTCCTCCACTCCCCCACCTCTCAACAGTGACATACCATGTGTGTGTGTGTGTGTGTGTGTGTGTGTGTGTGTGTGTGTTATTCCTTCAGCCGTCCATCATGAGATGTTCCTCACCTGTGTTGGAAGAAGAGGACCCCAAACACTCTACATACATATATCATCACTTATAACAACTTATACCACCAAATTTTATATCAACTATCAAATTTAACTATCACCACCACCACTACCATTTATCACCACCACCACCACTACCATTACCTATCACCACCACCACTACCATCACCACCGCTACCATTACCACTATCACCACCACCACCATACCACTATACCACCACTACCATCACCACCACCGCTACTGCACTTCACCCACCACCATCCACTACCATTACCACCACTCCTACCACCCATCACCACTATCATCACCACCACTATTACCATTACTATCACCACTAAATCCGTTGAGCAACGTCACTGGTGGAGTTCCCAGGGCTCAGTACTTGGACCTTATTACTTTATATACATAAACGACATAGAATATCGGCATGAACAACATAAGTAATTTGCTGATGACACTAAATAAGACGTGTAATTAAATCTGACGAGGACTCGCAAAACTACAAGAATATCTAAAATTTTTCGAATGGTCTGAAAAATGGCAGATGAAATTCGATGACAAATGTAAAGTACTCAGTATAAGGAGACGTAAACAGGAAACCAATTGAACAACGAAGCCATTGAGAAATCCGACTGCGAGAAAGATTTAGGAGTAATGATAAGTGAATCTTAAGCCAAGTAAACAATGTTTTGTTCGTAACAAGGCTAATAAAGTACTTGCGTTCATACAAAAGGAGTGTTAGTTACAAGACTAGCGAGGTCATCTAAACCTGTATCTTGCTCTTGTGAGACCACACCTGGATTACAGTGCAGTTCTGGTCACCGTATTACAGAATGGATATAGAATCCTTGGAAAGAATCCTGAGGATAATGACAATACTAATCCCGGGCATTAGGAACCTTGAGTATAGAGACAGGTTAAAGCATCTTAATTTGCACTCCCTCGAGACGTAGAGCGAGGCGACATGATAGAGGTGTATAAGGAAGTCAGGGCTAAACAAAGGGACATTACAAAGGTACTCAAACTATACAACCAGGAGCGAACTCGTAACAATGGTTTTAAATTAGACAAATTTAGATTTAGGCGCAAATAGGTAAACACTGGTTTGGAAATAGAGTAGTGGATGAGTGGAACAAGTTACAAATATCATCATTAACTCGAATACGCTGGATAGCTTCAAACATAGGATGGATGCTTATATGAGCAACAGGGGTTGGGTGTAAACAGGACTGCCCAGTATGGGCCAATAGAGCCCACTACGGTTCCTCCATTCTTATATTCTTATGTTCTTACTATCACCATCCCACTACCATTACCACTATCACCACCACCACTAACATCACCACTATCACCACCACCACTACCATTACCACTATCACCCACCACCACTACCATTACCACTATCACCACCACCACTACCATTACCTATCACCACCACCACTAGCATTACCACTATCACCACCTAGCATTACCACTATCACCACTACCATTACCACTATCATCACCACCACTACCATTACCACTATCATCACCACCACTAGCATTACCATATCACCACTACCATTACCACTATCACCACCACCACTACCATTACCACTGCACCACCACTACCATTTCTACACTATCACACCACTACCATTACTATTACCTACCACCACTACCATTATACTACCACCACTAATCATACCACCAATTACCACCATAATTACCACTATCAACCACCACTATATTACCATTACCACCACCACCACTACAATTACCACTACCACCATACACATTACCACTACACCACCACTATTACCACTACCACTACCATTACCACAATCACCACCACCTACCACTACC